TGTGTCCTCCCAGGGGCCTGCCTCCGATCGAGTTGGTTTCGGGCAGCGGCCGGTGGCGGTAGCTGGCAAAGTTCTTGTGGAAGAGCTTGCACTTGGCAGCCAGTGCGATCAGGATGGAGATGCCGATTGCTGTCACCAGGAAGCCCACCAGGTACGGCCAGCTCCTTCCCCCCTTCCCGGAGGGTGGTGTGGTGGCTGCGGCGCAGGAAAGGCACATCAGGGCATGGCACATCAGCCTGCGGCATACCCGGCGCTCCTCAGCAGCCAGCCCCATGCATGCCTGCGGCGTGCCGCCAGCACTGGATTGCCTTCATTAGGAGCAATATAAATGCTCGTCACCAAGAGCTAGAGCACCGACACTGGGGGGGGAGCCTGCCGGGCAGCTGTCTGATACTGCTGCCCATCACTGTGGGTCTGTGTTCTGTGTGGCTCTGTGGCACCTGCTAACTTTTCTGTTGCAAAGCCAGCAAACACCTCCAGGTGGTGGCCACCCTTCCCACCAAGCCTCTGCACCAGCGGTGGCCAGGCAGCCTGGGCCCCTGGGCCTGCGGGGCAGAGCAGAGGGTGTCTGGCTGCGGTCCCCTCTGGGGTGACAGAAGGCAGGAGGCTGCTAGACCTTACAGACACCCCCATGGCTGTACAACTTACTGTTGCTGTTGGTCGCTGCGATCTGCTGCGTTGTGCTGATCCCCCGAGGAAATCGCTGCTTCATCCGACAGCCCAGGTCCTGGGAATCCAGAGCTGCAACCTCCCGGCCCCGCAGCCCCAGGGGTGATGCACAGGTCACCTGCACAGCTGGGAGACACACGGGCTAAGGTGGGATGGTCTTCACCCATCCCCTCCCCAGTTTAGAGAAGATGATCCCTGCTTGCCCCTGGGTTGATGGGATGCATCGCAAGGTGTTCCTAGCTCTGCCCTCCAGCCTCAACAGCCCTCAGCACATTGTAAGGCACAACCAAAGAAGAAAATTCCCTGACCAAGGAACTGTGCAAGTGTGTTACTGTGATTAGTGGGCTCCTTTTAACTCTTAATGCCAAATTCACGGATACTGATAGAAACCCCACTGTCGTGGAGCTGCTCTCACCTGGGAGCCAAGCTCAGAGGGTTGGAGCCTGATTTGGCTCCACAGGAGGAGCTGCCGAGTGCTCAGCAGCTCTTGAAAATGTGGTCACTCCACATAGACACATATAGGTGGATTTAGGGGCTGGAGTGTATGTGCAGCCCCTTTCCCAGAAGAGTGGCTAAATTATCCTGCTGTCATTCCTACAAATCTTTGGTATCACGTGTAACTGCAAGCAAGGAACAGACACATCACCTTTCGGTTCACTGTCCCTCAACAGGGTGGGAGATGTCCCTGGAGAGCCATCTCAGACCCTGCCCAGGAAAAGGATGGAGTGGGACCCCGCACCCAGGGTCCCTCCTGCCCGACGCCTCTGCTGCCACCCGCCCCCGGCCGCTCACCTTGCCTGCGCTGTAGCCACTGCTGCAGAGGCTGCGCCGTGCAGTCGCAGACCCAGGGGTTCCCTTCCAACCGGACCTGTGGGACTGCCTCCATCAGCTGCAGGCTCCAAGTGTCCACAGAGACCAACGCATTGTGCTGCAGGTCCAGGTGGAAAAGAGCCTTCAGCGGCAGGAAGAAAGGGACCTCAAGCTCTTGCAGACTGTTGTTTCTTAGGAGCAGAGTGTGCAAGTTTCCTAAGCCCTTGAAAGCATCCCTGTGAAGATAGGCGATGCTGCAGCTGCTCAGGTCCAGCAGGCGCAGTGCCCCAAGGTTGGAGAAGACCGCCGGGCTCAGAGCCGGCAGGGCATTGCTAGAGAGGTTGAGAGAGTGCAAGGAAGGGAAACTCATCAAAAGAGTCCCATGAGGGGGCACGACCAAGGAGTTGAAGGAGAGGTCCAAATTGGTGATGTTGCGTGGAAGGGAACTTGGAGCGTGCAGGAGGCTCTTCCCGTTGCAGTCGGCCCATCCCTGGGAAAAGAGCAGCTCTCTGAGATGGGCTGTCCATGCTGGGGAGGATTGCTGGAGCGAGACTCCCCAGAAGTTCAAATGCCTCATCTAATTACCCTCACAGAGTTTAAAAAAGCAAAGACACAAACAGGTGTAAAAACACATGAGCTGCCAGTTTGGTGTGGGCCGGGATGAGTGGAGAAGGATGAGCAGGACAACCCAGGACAGGCCAGGACTGAGAGCAGCCGACTGAAGAAGTAAAGGAGAAGCATGCAGAGCCAGGGGGGAAACTCAGACAGACCAGGTGGGTACAAAGGGACTGGGATGTCACCCTCCCATCCCCTCTCCTGGGGCAGTTGCCACCTGGATTCAGTTTGCAGAACACATTCCTCTTCCTCCCCCAGGTTCCCACCTCCAGCCCCTGGGGAGCTCTTTTGTGGGCATCCTCCCAGCTGGAGCAGAGGAGTGGGGTGAGACGCCTGCCCGCTGCGAGGGCAGGCAGGCAGGCAGCAGCAGCCAGCCAGGCTGCAGGGTGGTGGGCACCCATGTCAAAAGCTGCTCCCCGGGCCTGTGCAGGGTGTTGCACCCACGCCTCCAGCCCTCCCGTGTTTCTGAGGGTACACTGTGCATGGCAACGGCTTAGTGCAGGCTGGCTCTTCTATACTAGCAAACAAAACAGACCAAGGACCCTTTGCACTCCCAAAAAGCCAGCAGTGCATGCTAGATGGATCAATCAGCCCAAGTGGATGGATATTTCCTCCCCCTCCCCAAAACAGGGTGGCCAAATTCAATTTGGTTTGGGGGAGCAATCCCCGTCATGTGTTACTCCTGCCTGGGCTTTATGTGCGAGCGGGCCAGCTGCCCAAACTGAAGAGCAGGTTAGCAACTTAACAGCTTGGCTGGGCAGGCACGGGGTCCTGCCCGATGCCGTGTTTGAGCCCCACGGGCAGAGATGCTGTGCTGGAAGTTTGCTGTGGTCCATAGTCCCAGCTTTCTAGGTCTGGCTGCCGTTTCCTTCTTTGGCTCTGGCATGACCACCTCTCTTTTCGTCTTCCCGTTCTCCCAAACCTCCTGTCAGGCCCTGCTGTCCCTGCTTGCTAAAGAAGTGGCTGTGCCCTTACCAACCTGGGCTGCCCAAGACTGGGTTACGACGGCCCCGAGCCACGCGGGCACCGCACAGGTCCTGCCCCAAGCTCAGACAGGGCTGGGTGCGGGGAAGCTCGGGGAAAACAGCGCAAAGGTGTTGAGGGATCATCAGTGAGCTGGGCAGGCGTCGCTGCGCTGTGTGCTATGGCTGTGGGGGGGACCCCCCCGGAGCCAGAAACGCCACGGCTCGCCGTGCCTCGAGCTGCACGGGGCAGGAGCTGCCGGCTGGGGC